GGCTACAGTATTATGTTTATTTTTTAATTATTATTTTTTATTTTAATGGTTAAACCAGAGACTAGGTTATCTGGGACTTTCTGATCGAAATGCAGATCATGGCTCATTGTTTCCACTTTCCACTTTAGAAACAACCAAAGTCTCATAATGGATATGTTTGTTTTATATAGCAATATGATTCATTGAGAGWTGATGATCTTAYCGTGAACAAAACTGCTTCAATATTCCAAGTTATGCAGAAAGGCGTTTGAGTGCAACCATCACCATTCTTTAGCCTCCAGAAACTCTTCTTCTGTTGTGACTTCAGTTATTTCCAKTATTTTGAAACATTAAAACAACCGTATGTTTTATTTTGGATTTTGATAGATGAACAGAAAGACAAAAACACAAGATGTTTTTTTTTTATTTTGAAACAGATTCTTCAGATATCCTTCACATGGTTAACTTATTTTCTTAAACAAACACAAAGCTGCAGGGCCACCTTATCACACATATTTTAATATTATAATAAATCAATTTGTTTATTCCTCCAAGCTGGACGTCACACTTCAATATCATCATCTGTTCAGTATCGTTACTGAGGTTTTTTTTTTTCATGTTTTTTTCTCACTTTCACCACGTCACTCCAAGGTACAGAGGTGCTACAAATGTAGAATGTTTTAGCACCCACCCACCCCACCCCCGCACGCCTTTGTGTGTCTTCTGAACAAACAGAGGTGGGGAGAGGACTACTAAAGCAAACCCAGGTCAAAACAAAGTATAATTTCTAATAGAAAAGTATGAAACCGATAACGCAACCCTGTGGTACACCTCAAATCTTGTGTTTTCCACCAGATAACCTTTGTCACAGTCAGGCATCAGCAGGAAATACAAAATGATTTCCTGCTGCTGTTTCTGTTGCTTTCTGAAACCAATACTTCAGGGCCTCAAGGTCGTGACTAAAACCTTAACCATCACCTGAAAGTGGTGGGAAGCACGAAGCACAAAAGATTAGCAGTAACAAAAATAAGTACTGGTTTTTAAAAGGGACAAACGGACCTGTCAGCATCGAAGTTAAAGTTCAGGACCTTAATGAGATTTTTGTCAAACAGTAATAACAGTTTGTGTGTTTGTTGTGTGATTCAGGACAAGCAGCTAGGGTGATCTACGAGGTTCCCCACATGGACTCTGTTGAGGCTGACATGGACAAACACAGCACMTCGTCCTCCAGAGGCTCCACTCAGTGGGTGAGTGGGAGACGCATTTAGTCCCGACAAAATAAAATGAAATTAAAGAGCTTTGATGGTTTTAGGGCTTCATTCTTTGTTATTTTTCATCAGACTGAACTATTAGGCACCAACACCTGCAATGTGTTGATAAAGTGTGCTTTCAATAACTGCTTGTTTTTATATATTTCTTTAGTGCCAGGTGCAATTGTACGACTCCTTGGACTACTTTGAGCGAGTGGAGACCAACCACGGTACCAGGAAGGAATGAGGATCTGCTCCAGCGTTTGAACTTGTTCATTGTGTACAAAATGTGCATTTCTTTATCGTCATTATCKGAATCAAACTCATGTGTGTGTAAATATTTTGTATTTTCATATAAACTGTATCTTTCTCGTCATCATGGCTAGTTCATTTATTTAAGTGAGTGGATGGACTTGTTTTTTTTTCCAGGTCAAATGTTTCAGATTTTGCTCTGACCTAACCCGACATCCTGCAGTGGTCCTCGACACTGAGGCTCAGTAGCGCTGCAGCTGCGGTGCACGTTTCGCAGCACCAGATTACATAGAGACCATGAATGGAAAGTGTGGTGTCTCAGCTCTGCTGCATAATAGGTCAATGACAGGAAGTGGAAAGAGCGCCTGTGACGGTCAAAGTCTCGCTGTGTGTCTTTAGTGTACGCAAAACCAAGACACCTCAAATGTTGAGCTGAGGCCAAGTTTTACTGAYGTTGTCACCAAACCTGTCAGCACTGGCAATCTTAATACTGATTGTTTGCTCTCTTTCTGGAATTTCCACTAACATTGCTGGTAAAAAAAAAAAAACACTAGTACTAGTACTATTACTAGTACTGTAAGCAGAAAGCCAGGGGAAATTTTAACAGCTGGGAAAGGAACACATCTGTACAACAATACTGTAGTAACAATGATTGTCTCTTTCTATGCTGCTTCCTATACATGAATCAATCAAGTAAATCATCTTTAGCTTGAAGTTGTTTTTATGCACGTTTCCAAAAGCTTTCAAATGAAGCTGCTACAGTATCTGTGCAGTGAAAAAAATTTACAGATTCCTTCTTTCTTCCTTATTTTAATCTCATTTAAATGTTTCAGACCAGCACACACATTTTAATATCAAACACAGTCTGAACAAATCCATACTGCAGTTTTTAAATGATGATTTCATTTACTCAGGGAAAAAAGTGATCCAAACCCAACAAAACAAAAATGAATAAATAAAATTAATATAAAATTCATCCAGTGTTTCATAATATATTTTACCAACGGCAGACAAATGCACCAAACACAAAYGCCTGTCTCTCTACAGAAAGTGATAAAACTTCACACAAATGATTAAAAACAAGGCTAATAAGACAGTACTGGATGTTAAAATGAGGACATGAGAGTCGGAGGAGGGTTGTTTTATGATCAGATGCTGCTAATGAGGGGATGACAAAAGCAGCAGAAGCTGAGGAGTGGCCTCGCCCACACACACAACCACAAGTGGAAACACTGCAACTGTGATGAGAAATAATGAAAAAAATATATTTTTGTACTTTCTTTTAGCTCTTTGATAAAAGAGCAAACATACAGGTGCTGGTCATAAAATTAGAATATCATGAAAAAGTAGATTTATTTCAGTAATTCCATTTAAAAAGTGAAACTTGTATATTGTATTCATA